CATTTTCATTATTTTTTATGCAGGATGGGAAATAAAAGATTCATTTGGCATGGAGCACAATAAATTATTGGAAGATAAATTTATTTGTTGGAATAAAAGGGGTGGGACGTTTTTTATTAATGAAAATTCTCAAAGTGTTTCTCTATTTCCGTTTTGTGGCTTTCTCTTTATGAGATTGTTCTACTTTATTCTTCTAGTGTCTACGTTGTAGGCTGGTACTATAGATGGGGTTTTGGGGTTTTCAGGTTTCTCCTCACACTAGGAGATAGTGGACCCTATATATCAGTTTTCCTTTTCATTTTATTTTATTTCTATCCGCTGCGCCTTGCATCAGTTGGTTATCAGAGCTTGAGACGTTTTTTGAACTGGCACATCATCTTTTTTGGTCGTCAAATCTGGTTTAGTTTCCTTTACTTTTATTTTGAGAGTTATACATCATTGGAAGGTTCAGGGAGTATAAATTCCAATGCAACAAACTTTGCATCAAACGGAGTTTTGTGTGAACTGATATTGGCAAAACACCACAAAGTGTTGGTGTTGCGAGAAACCAGCATATCATCTATGTTGTGGGCAAGGTTTTGAGTTCATTAAAAATTACTTGACAATCAAGCCATACATCATTGGAAAGCCATTCTAGTCTAGTTTCCAAATCTTCAAGCGGTTTTCCAATCCATTATTTGTGCAAAACAATATTCTTATTTTACTAAAACATGTCGCTGTAGTCAGTATTTGAGGAAGCATATGTTCTACGAACGGAAGGCCAAGAAACAAGTGCTTCAAATTTTTTAGGTGACAGATTCCTAAATCTTGACCTTTCTCCAAATTTCGATCTTTGTCCATATGGTTCTTTTGAAATTTGTTGTGGTATATGTCATTATAATTTTATGTGTGGTGATGTTGTTGATGATCTTACAATTGATGACGGTACTGGTGGCCAAGAGTTTTCTCTGCAGGTTCGAGTGGATAATCAAGAGATTTATCTGAATTCTATCAAGGATATTCATGATGACAACAATCTGCTTTTTGAATTCAAAATTGAACACAAAAGAAAACAAATGAACACAATTGTTTTGATAGAGGTGGTAGAAACTTTTGCTAAGTTTCAATTCCAAATCCAGTTTGGTTGGATTTTATACATGCTTCCATCAACAAGAGGTTGAGTGAAATGATTGATTTGTTAAAAGTTTTGAATATTGATGCATTATGTTCATATCCTGACGCTATAGTTCGATTCCAAGAGATGGCTAGCCTCTATATATTCTATGCAAAGAATCTGTTTGTAAATGTGAAAAAGAAAACAAAGCATGGCAAGGCAGAATGGTTGCAGCACTTTGCGGTTTGGATACTTGTTCTTACAAACAAAACTTAATGATGAGTTTTCTTCGAGAAGGGGAGAATGATGCAGGATGGGAAATAAAAGATTCATTTGGCATGGAGCACAATAAATTATTGGAAGATAAATTTATTTGTTGGAATAAAGGGGGGTAGAATGTTTTTTATTAATGAAAATTCTCAACGTGTTTCTCTATTTCAGTTTTGTGCCTTTCTCTTTGTGAGATTGTTCTCTGTTTCAGTTTTGTGCCTTTCTCTTTGTGAGATTGTTCTGCTTTGTTCTTCTAGTGTCTACGTTGTAGGCTGGTACTAGAGACAGGGTTTTGGGGTTTTCAGGTCTCTCTTCGCACTAGGGGATAGTGGACCCTATATATCAGTTTTCCTTTTCGTTTTATTTCGTTTCTATCTGCTACACCCTGCATCAATTTCCTCCACCACAATCAAGTAGAGTTGCAACTTCTCTTCATGTGTCATCTTCCGTTCCCGTTCTTCCATCAAAGAGTTTTGTGGAGGTGCCTTCTCAAATCGACAATCCTCCGTTAGTAGCCCCAACAAGGAATGAAGGGACGGTATGACCTCCTCTCGTGATTAGGCCCTCAGTTGATCACGTTGCTTTTCCTTTCGAAGCTAGCGGTCTTCGGAACATAAACTATGCTCGAGCCTTCTTGGTACTATAATTGCCCTGCAGACTATAAAGAAGTTTATAAGTCTCTTAAGGACATCTTCATGCAGTGTTATGGAAGTCGTTACGAGGTAATTTTCCATTCCCTTGTTTTCTTTCCATAAGTATATTTCAATATTGCTGTTCTTCTATATAGCTTCTTGTTTGTTAGGCTAATGCATGGATGAAGGTGGCTCTATTCCGTCAAACGAGGCGGATTTGAGAACTTGAACGAACATCCCATTAAAAGATGGAGACAAGGTTGGAGTTGGAGTGACGGTTGGCTCCTCAATTGGAAGAGCTTAAGAGGATGTAGGTTAAGCAACAAGCTTTGAAGAATTCTCATGAGGCGAAAATACACAAATACATCGATGCTGTTACACTTGATGAGATAAAGGCCAAAAACTACCACGAAGATCTCATGAGAGCAAGGGAAAAGTTGAGGTTGGAGTGGTGAGTCAGGCTGAAGCAGATCAGGCCCTAACATATTCGAGGGATGAGTCAGGGCGTACATTGTGTTCGGAGCGTAATATTTAGGCAACAGAACAGGCTGTTTTCAGTTGAAAGTTAGACATCTTTGCCTAGGGGTGGGAAAAGTTGGGATGGATCCTTACGGTTCGGGGAGAGTACGATATAGGTCCAAAAATTATAAATACCAATCGGGGTGGGCGAGCCGATTCCATGTAAATAATGGGGTAGGCCGGTTCTAAAAATTGGAGAAAACAGGCCTCCGGCCCAGACCGTTTATTGACAATTGATTGAATCTTTACCCTTTGGGCCTCTATTACCCAGTACCCACACTCTCAGACTCTCTTATTATTTCTTAAACCTAATTCAATCAACTCACCCTTTACCCCCTCTCTTTTTCTATCTCGACTCCTCGATCTCTCCTCCCTCTCGATCTCTCTCGATCTCCTCCCTCTTGAACTCTCTCGATCTCTCTCTCCCATCTCATCCGCCCCAAACGCAGCATAACCCCTTTATTCCTTTCATCTTCTCCAACCTTCACAAAGCATAACCAGGCATATACCCAGCTCACACCGTAAACCCAGTCACACTTCATAAAGCATCACCAGCTGCGCCACAAGCCGCCGTCTATGCCCTTCTCTTTTTCCTCCAGTTCCTCGTTTGAGCTACCGATAATTTCAAGTAATTTCTCTAAAACACTATTTATAATTTTAGAGTTTATTGATCAACTCTCTGTCTAGATGCCTCTGTCTCCAATCAAACAGATTGCACCACTGGTTTAGTTTTTCGCTAGGAAACTCCCTGGCAGCGGATGAGGGTCTTGATGTCAGAGATCGAATCAGAGATCTAGAGGATGAGCGAGTTCGGGAGGCGATCATAACCCGAAGACAAAAAAAAAAAAAAAAAAAAATAGAGGACCCGTGTACCTGTCTCGAACCGGCCTGTTTGTAACGGGTTGGGTTAGGTGCGATTCTAATGGTCAGATTTGTAATACTCCGCCTGACCCGGCTTGTTTCCTTTTTAAGCAGGTCTGGTCCGGTCCCTCCAAATTTGGGCCTGGCCTGGCCCGTGCCCACTCCTATCTTTGCCAGGAGGTTAACTAGAAAGAAAATGCTTGTATCGCGGACCTTCAGTGGCTCATCGACATATATGTCTCTGAAATATCAGTCTTTCGAGATATCCACCAGAATATGCTCACAGAGGAATGTGATGAAGGATGTAACTTGGGGTTTCTTACAGGTTACGCTCTATGAGATCACCTCAAGGGTTGGGATGTTTATAAGATCTTAGAAGAGATCAAACACATGGATATTTTTGTTTAAGAGCATCTACTGAATGAAATTTTAGAGTTACTAGTAGTTGAGTTTGTGCACCTCCTCTACGTTTTTCTTCAATTTTCCTTTGCAACAGGGAGATAAGAGCACTTCCACGATGGGAAACCCTCCTCTAAGCTATTCACTATTTAATCCGTCCAATGAACAATAACTGTCCTTAATGAACAGTAACTGCCCTTTGCATCTCCACCGTTGCACTTGAATAACCCTGGTAATAGGCAATAAAATATTATTATTATTTTTTAAAATACTACAAAATAATACAAAATAATTTTATTTGTAATTTTGGATAGGATTTTTAATCGGTCTCAATGTACCACTTTCTATTAAAAAAATTATTTTTATTTTTTCAATTTTTTCATTTCACATGGTGCAAAACCTTTGTTATTTTCACATGGTGCTGATGCACCATTCCAAAACCTTTTTTTATTTTTTATTTTTTTTTATTATTGTTTTTCTTCTTTTCACATGGTGCCAACGCTTTTCTTTCTTTTTCAAGCTTAGTAGCTCTCTCTCACTTGATTTTCAACCCACACCCAAATTTTCAACCCGTGCCCCCCCCCCCCAACGCACCCAAACCCTCCTCACCTCTCTTCCTCCATCTTCACCACCCCACCGCCGCCTCTATTCCTCCATCTTCACCATACCACCCACCTCAGGCTCCATCAATGGTCCCGATCTTCCCTGCTCCCTAACCAAACTCTCTCTCTCTCTCTCCTCTTTCCTCCAAAAACAAATCCCAAATCGTACGATCTGGGTGCGCCAGTGGAAGGAGGAGGATTGCGAGTGCGTGGGGGCAAAGGCGGTGTGGGGTGCGGCGGAGGAGGGACTGGATCTCTGCCATTTGTCTGTGGGTGTTCATCAACCTCGGCGACGAACTCTAGCGAGAGCCGTTGAGTTCGAAGCCTGGGTTTTACAATTTTTTAATTTTTTACTTTTTTTATTAATATTTTATATTTTTATTAATTTTATATTGTGGCTGACGTCAAGGCGACGTCAACCCACGTCACGTTGCCTTCGGGCTCTCGGGTTGGCAACTCGTGCCGGGCCTCTCTCTCGGGCCCGCTCGAGCTCCATCGTCAACACACGCGGGGCTTGGTTGCTCAGGCTCTCTACCAGTGTTCACGGACCTGTCCCTCGGGGGAGAGCACACGCTGGAAGTGCTCTAAAGGAAGAAAAAAAAAATTGACGCGGGGAAGTCACACCACATATCCTTTCGTATACAAAAGCGCTGCCAATCCCACCAACATTCGATCTTCGTAGTCAGCCATGGACATTGCGGCCCCCACGTTCCCGTCGTCCCACAACTGATTTCGCCCACCTCCGATGGCTGCCGCAGCTCTCTCCCTCCTCCCCTCCTCCTCCTCCTCTCCCCACCTCCTCTTCCCGCCCTCTTCTTCTTCTTCTTCGTCCTCCTCCGCTTCCTCTTCTTCTTTGTTTGTATCGGGTGGGACCCATTTGAGGACCCACGTCTGTCTTAGTTCTTCGCCATTGTCATCTTCTTCGTCCACTTCTTCTCCATGGAAATTCAGCACGAAACGCAGCGTTGGGAGAGTATATGCTGCTTCTGGCGATTACTATGCCAGTCTTGGGGTTCCCAAATCTGCCACCAGCAAGGAAATCAAAGTCGCTTATAGACGTTTGGCTCGCCAGGTAACTGTTTTCAGACCCTAGTTTTTTTGGAGTAAATTTGTTTAAGTTACTTTGGAAATTGTAAAAACCTCGACATTCAAGTGTGGTTATTATACAAATGTATGCATTTTTTCAGCAACCAAACAACTGGTATATTTGCAAAATTATAGTATGATTTTTCTAGATTAAACGATGACATATTCCACGCTTTTGTTTTGATATAATTCTAAGTAACTTATCAAAATTTATGGCTTGCTAGTGCTTTTGTTTCATGTTAAAAGGAGAAAGCTTTAGAAACATTAGGAAGCCACTGCAATTTATGCCATTGTTGTGTTACACGAGATACGATCAGATTCAATTTCTTTGGGACTTACGATTGTATCTAAAGTTACTGTATTTTGTCCAGTTTGAATGAGTGCACTATATACGTAATTCTGACCTTCTTATGTATTGTTATGCTCTCAAGTACCACCCTGATGTCAACAAGCAACCAGGAGCAACCGAAAAGTTTAAAGAAATCAGTGCTGCATATGAGGTATGAGACATGTTTTTCTTTATCTCATCTATCCTAAAGACATGCATCACATTCACATAGCAAGCAATGAAATTAGAATATATGATACATTATATAGTTTGTGCTGTTATACTTGTGGTACTCATTGTTCATTATCTTTTATTGGCGTACATTGGTTACTGGCACAAGAAACGTATTTACAGTATAAAAGAAATATCAAAATTCAATCCAATCTTTTTACATATTCTATATGGATTGTTATCTTCTCAGAGTTTTGCTCCTCTTACTGTTAATATTAAAAGCTCGTTCTTAATTTACTGTTAACAGAACTGCCATAGAAGCATATGCTGCATATCTAAGTTAGACTCTGAATCAGTGAGCAACAGTAATCCAAACTCACCTTAGTTATTTGTATTAACACGTATGCTCATAATCTGTCCAAGTATGACCTCCATCTTTATCAATGAAATCACCAATACTGCAGTCAAATTTTGTTTCTTGGCTTTCCTTCATTTCCAGGGTTCTAAGTTTGAAACATGTATGAACTCTTGTAGTCTGCAATAATTTAATGTTGGGGTTTATGCTTGTTGTTTCCTTAGTCTCCAATGAAGTACAGTATATTGCTTATTTTTTCTTTTCACATTTATAATATTGTCTGTTGAATTCTGAAATACGACCCTGTCAGGTGCTATCAGATGATAAGAAGCGAACTTTATATGATCAATATGGTGAAGCTGGAGTTAAGAGTGCTGTAGGGGGAGGTTCAAGTGCCTATACGGTAGTGGATGCAGTCATATATATATTTTTGCTAATTCATCTGATAAATAAATAAATGTGAAGTATGGCAGTCACTTGATGTATGTAGAAACTTGCATATCAATCATATTGTTGCACACCATGCAGTATCCAGTTGTTGGAATATTCTGGGGCAACAAGGCCTCCATTTGGTCATTCTCCTTTCTGAAACTCAGGTCATAAGAACCACAGTAAACAACAACAGACATGCACTTGCACACACACATTTTAGAGTTAAGGAGAGGCTACTTTGCCCCAGATTCATCAAAAATTAGAGGATATGTTTCTCCTTGTTAACCTTAATTAATATTCAAAGGTATATGCTACTTCCTCTGCAACATTCTTTATATAGTAGTATTATTTAAAAGGTGTATGCTACTGTCTCTGCAACTTTCCTCACATAACAGATTTATTTGAAGAGCATAAATTATTTGTCGATATTCTTGCTGAGTTTTTATGTTCAGTTGTTGCCTTTTCTTGAACAGGTTGCAGAATGTATATATCTTATTAGCATATATTGATCACCTGAATTACATGCCTAGTTTACCTTTCACCTGTAATCAATGGGAGAGAACTTGTCATCCCAGTTTTTTTATGCAATATCCTCTATTCTCATGACAATGTTTATTTGTTGGAAAACTATTGCAATCAGAGCTGTTTCCTCAATTGTTAATTTGAGTTCTTTGCTGAATGTTGAATTTTATTTAAAATAACTGTGTTCTTATTCTTTGACATGGATAAAAGATGTTTTTCCTTTTAACATTATTATAGGTATCTGAGTAGACCTGTATAAGCAAATATAGAGCTCTGCAATGTTTTCGTAATCGTTTGCTAACGATAACATATATTGAAGCTTAAATTACTTAGTTTTTGCAGATGCTTATTAAAATTTAAACTACACACCTTTTACTCCTATTTTGCAGACAAATCCTTTTGATTTATTTGAGACTTTTTTTGGGTCGAGTATGGGTGGATTCTCTGATATGGATTCTGCTTTTGGAACACGCCGTCGTAGCACTGTTACAAAGGGTGAAGACATCCGGTGAGTTATTATGTTGCAGACAATACATATGTTTTGATTACAACCATTTTTTTCATACATACAACACTTATATTCACTTGATACTTAAGAAATCATATGTATAACAACCTTCTATACATATTGGTTAATAGTGTGGCCTGATTATGTCTGCTCCGATTTGCTTCTTAGTAAACAAGTTTTCTAATAAATTGTTAATTAGTTATAACACACATTCAACTCGATCAGGAGAGATAAGATATCTTTTGTTCTTTACAGTGAACTTGGTTTATGATTATAAAATGATATCATATGGAGGGATTCTTATTTTAACTCAATTCTTATTGCTCTTCGTGTAAATGTCTGGGAATTTTATTTTCTTTGGTTTTAAGGATGTGCTTTGAGTTGCTTCAGTAATCAGTAGCACAGGTGTTTATTGTCCTTTTATTAAACTTATGTGATAACTGCAATTTTACTTGACGAGTATAATGATAAAGAATATTAGAGCCTCACTGCTACTTGATCACATGTATACCACCTACTATTTGGAACATGTTATTTTTGTCTACTATTTGTGGTGATTTTGTCTTCAGTGTGTTAGAAAATTTCTTACTTCCATTGTTCAGTTATTGTTGCAATACAAAATGAATATACAATCGACGGTTTTTTGTTGACCTTTGGTCCAAATATGTTCAGTTATGACATCACTTTAGAATTTTCTGAGGCTATATTTGGAGTGGAAAAAGAATTTGAACTTTCCCATCTGGACACTTGTGAAATTTGCACTGGAACTGGTGGTAAAATAGGCTCTAAAATGCGGATTTGTTCTACTTGTGGTGGGAGGGGTCAGGTTATGAGAACAGAGCAGACACCTTTTGGCCTGTTTTCCCAGGTAAGGGCTTCTGGTTTCTATTCTATTGATTTTTCATTTTGCACTCTGATATTTTGTGCATTTTCATATTAAATAAAAATCAGAAACATTCATTTAGTGTGATTTCTCAAGGGTTATCGCTTAGTGTTTTAACTGCTTATTTGCCTATGGTTAAAAATTTGTCCAGTTTTGCATTGAATCCAGTTTAAATTCTTCTAATGACTGATTGCATCTCTAAAGAGTACCTTGATTATTGGTATTATTTTAGAATAGAACTGGATAAAGGTTTTTGCACTAGATAGCACCAACTGGCAATAAGACAAGAAAACACTGTTTGAGGTAAATTTGGATGTGATCAATACATCAAGGAAGGGTATGGTTTACTCAGTGGTATTCTGCACACAGGAAGGCCAAACATAGAACGGTCTGTGGTAGTGAGAAATGAAATCATGGCCAATTCTAGATCTTGTAAATGGAACTGATTGCTTGTGGCGTCATTGAGTTCTACATGTTCATGAATGTAATAAATCTACGATACATTGATGTAGCTACATGTTAGGTTTGTTTTTAAGTTCATGTGTTAGCTCTATATGGAACTGATTGTTCAAGTCCACAACTAATTGTGACCACGGGCTTATATTTAAGTTTATATTGCATCACTCGGGTATTGGCACCCTGTATTCCATGCAAGACTAGTTACATGATTATTTGAATAATCTTTCTGGTCATGTTAGGCTTCCTTATGTCCAAATTGTAGTGGAGATGGTGAAGTCATTTCTGAATACTGTCGGAAGTGCTCTGGTGAAGGACGTGTCCGTGCTAAGAAAAGTATTAAAGTTAAAGTTCCTCCTGGTGTTAGCACAGGAAGCATTCTGAGAGTTGCTGGAGAGGGAGATGCCGGGCCGAAAGGGTAGGTGGCTGAATTTCATTTTGTTTTTTACCATGCATTTTCAAGTTGCTGTCTTTGTTTATGTGTAAAGTAGATAATCTGTTATATATGAATAGAAAAAGTATGAATGTTCTCTGTCATTCATCCTTTTCAAGCATATAGAAGGTGCATATTCAATATTTATGATTAAAAATTTGTTACAATTTATTTTTTTGGTTGTGTCGATAGAGCATTTACTACTTTGTGGGAGCACTATTGATACTACAAAGTTTATAGAAGGCTCACAAATAGCATTACAACAGTAAAATCATGTGAAGATTCTCATCTAAAACAAAAGTCATGTGATGATGAGTGAGACATTGAAGATCTATTCATCTTATTTGTATAGTTTTTTTCCCTTTTCTTCTTTTCTTAGACCAGTTGTTGTATCACCAATTTATGTCATATGGACTTTGCATGTGTAGTGTGTCTAATTTCTATGTTGTTTCAAACTGTTCCCTTGTTCGCTGCTTATCATGTTGACCTCTGTACTGTATGAAAATTGTAGTAGTTTTGTTAGCTAGTGTGTTGAGGATTTAATATTCTCAAGTATTATAGCATCCCGGATTCCATCATTCATCTCAATTTTCCGCTCCAGCTACTCTGGCAGAACGTTAAATGTTTCTTCCTCTCCTTGAGAGTACTTTTTTGGGTGAAATAAAATTTGTACTTGGTAAATCCACAAATTGTTATTTGTGCATTTAGCTTCAGAGTGTCTGTGTGTGAGATACTGTGATACACAGTTAGCATCAATTGCTGATCTTCATTGCACTCTGAAGGGGTGCCAGGCCTATGGTCTCCTCAACGTAGGAGAGCCAACGTCATAAATTGTTGCTGTGGGGGCGTGCGTTTGTGCAGCCCTTGTAAATAAAAAAAAAATGCTGATCTTGTTATACCATCAGGGGCCCTCCGGGGGATCTATATGTATATCTTGATGTTGAAGAAATAGAAGGAATTCAAAGAGACGGGATAAATCTCTCATCAACTGTTTCTATCAGCTATCTGGATGCCATATTGGGGGCTGTTGTTAAGGTATAGTTTGTTATTTTTATTCAGCATAACTTTAGATAAATTCATGCCTCCATTTAATTGTCATTTTAGAATCTTATCCCATGGAAAAAAGTATCTCACTAAACTTACACCGTTTTCAATGCCTTGCATCATTAAATTTTTTTTGTAACTTTGTGGATGAAGCTTAGATCTCAATAAACATAATGCTCCTTGAATACTCTCTTCAGTATGCTGACACGTGGATGTGTGTATGTTAACTAGTTTTCTATTACATGATGAGCCATTGGTTTACTGCATCCACACATTTTGAGACCAAATAATTCCATATTTTCAATATGCCCATTTGTTTCCTTTTTACAAGCTGAAATTCTAGTTTTGTTGATTTATCATTTTTATTTTTTTTTTAATTTTAAATTTTCTACCAACTTCTTGAATCCAGAGATTTATAGGGCTTTCTGTGTTTGGCTGGGATGTTTTATCTTTTTCTCCTTTTTTTTCCACTATAGCTCACCGGTATCTTTTTTATGACCAATCAATTGAATTTCTTGCATCTAAAACAGGTAAATACAGTTGAAGGAATTACCACACTACAAATCCCACCAGGTACCCAACCTGGGGATATTCTTGTCTTAGCAAAAAAAGGAGTACCAAAGTTGAACAAATCATCAATACGTGGCGACCACATATTTACAATTAAAGTAACAATACCAAATCGTATCAGGTATACATTTTTCTCTTTTTAGTTTCGTTGTACTGGGTAGCTGTAGTGGATAGTGTCAAGAATTCATCTCCCTGTATGGTCATACTTCAATGCATTGTTGCAGACTTCAAACTTTTGGTGTATGCTTTGTGGCAGTATGTAACATCTTCTAGTGGTAGACCATCCATGTAAAGTTAAAAAGACATGAATTGATTAAAAGATTTTTAAAAGAAACATGAATAAACATGAACATGATAATAGCTTCTTACAATATGAAATGTCTAACTTCAAAAGTAAGAAGGAAAAGTAAAAGGTGTATCGGCACTGCTGAGAAGGGTGTCACTTGTCAGCTACCATCATTCAATAGGTGTTGTGCTGTCGTAGCACACTCATGAAGACAGAAACGAGTAATGGTTGGAGAGAAGGGGGCATGCTTGATTACTCGATTCATAAATAATACACATCAAAGAGATCTTTAAGTTTCTATTTTCTTGTAAAGATGTAATCTCTAAAGAATGGGCGTTTTTTAAGATTTAACCCACATTTTTTTTTCAATTATAGTTCCAACGAGCGTGAATTGCTGGAAGAGCTTGCTTCACTGAGTAATACTACCACCAGACGTTCATGCACTCGCCCTAAATTGCAGCCAGCTAGTTAGTGATCGCTTTGTCATTTGAGGATGTTTTCTTTGTTTGTGCTTGCTGCAAACACTTTATAGAGTTTCAGGTTCAGTGTACAGATTTATGATTCATCTGACTTGAATTTGATGCTTTTGCTTCTGCAGCAACTAGTATGGAAACTGAGGTGGGAACGGTTGGGGAGAAAACAGAGGAAGGAGATGATCAAGATGACCCATGGAAGAAGTTAAAAGACTTTGCAGGGTAAACCTCCCTCTCTCTCTCTCTCTCCCACACACATGCACGCACACAATCATATCTTTCACCTACTGAGTATTTATGCTACTCACTGCTGTCACTAATTTTTTCTGAGTGAAAATTCAATATCTATTTGTAAAAGGTCTAAAAAAGATATCGAAAATGTGGTTGTTATCAATTTCCTAGAGATACCCTCTTATAATTGTGCATCTCCATATATGTATAAGCTCCTGAGATGTTATTCTGTTTTCATGTGTAGAATAATCTTCTCTTCATATGCACTTCATATGCATATTATTCTGTCATACGTGTTTTTATCTTCTCGTGATTAAAGCACTCATCATCTGCACTGCAACTGACCGTAAAAGTTTGTTGAATTCGCAGGTCTGTTGCAAATGGTGCCCTAAAATGGCTGAGAGACAACCTCTAGGCTGGTGTGTTTAGGAGGTCTACTCCAAACTTACACTCGATGTTGGCTAAAATTCAGCTGTAGATTTGTTTTTTTCTTCCTCCCATAAGGGGTATTGGACGAGCCATGCAGTCAAATGATTCCACTGTCTTACAGAAATTAACTTGCCAGCGCTGCAGTGAAGATCTTGAATTATGCTGTAGCCAACATTATTTTGTAGTTTAAAATTTGTCAAATGATACAGAATCACCTGCTGCAAGCACAAACTGATTTGTATCATCTAGCAGGCTAGAGGGGGCATCAAATTCTTGTTAGTGTATATCTCAATTTCAGATTGAATTTCTTGTGATAGTTGTTGGTTGTCAAGAGTATTTACTATTAGTCGGTGACGTTTTTGTAAACGTATAATTGGGTTGTGAGGAAGTACTGACGACTTGATATTTAGTTAGCATCAGTAGCCGAATCATGCGAAGAAATCGCTGGCTTCTGTCATTACCTTAATCTCATTAATTTCTTTCACTCCTTTGCTTCTGTGTCTTGGTTCTAACTGATTGCACACTTATGACAAATGCTTTGGTCCATTCTCTTCCCCCTGAGGAATCTCAAGCTTAGACGCTCGAGTGCTTCTGGGGTGGTTGCCCTAGGGGATTTGTTTTGAAACTCCTCCTGGGTCCAAGCCATATGACTAGCCTGTTATCTTTCTCGCCACTGTGGAGACTCGTGTATTTTGCAGTTCAACCTTCCCCTTATTCTTGTTTAGCACCAACAATGGCTGAAGTTGCAAACCGGAGGGTGCAAGGGAGAGCGTGAAACTGTGTTTGGACAGGTAGAAAGAAGCATCCTTGGAGATGGATGACTTGTTGGATGAGTGGAAGACTGGAGTTCTGAAACGACAAAGTTGTAAAACAAGAAGCAGCTAGTGCTGCTACTGCTAAAGCCTTTATCGAAGGGTCTCAAGAAAGATATACCCAAAAGATGAAGTGATTGATAAAGATATTTAATTGAGTTGCGGATGTGACAGAATTATCTTTATGCAGAAGGACAGGGGAGAGTCAAATAATTGGTGAGATGCACTTGGATAACTTAGTAATCCGGTGTTTCTTCCAGGATTTGAAACAAGATTTTATAAGTTTCAATTTGACTTTCAAAATGAATGTTTTATTATGGAAACAAATGAAGCTTATATGTTGGAATGCCCGAGGTATAGGTCATGATGCCACTCATCGGGTGTAAAAAAAAGTTGGTTCGGATTCACGCTCCGCTAATGGTGTGTATTTATGAGCCTTTTATTACTCTTACATTCATTCATCGTTCTTTATGGAATTCTTTACGGGGTTTTTTTTTTTTTTTTTTACCTGTTTGGGTAAAATATTAGGCTTTTAAGTGTTCTGAGTTTATTGGTGAAGTTTATTTCGACCTCATCACAACAGCTACCTATAAATGCATGCTTGTTTAATTATGCTGAAAACAGTCCAAATGCACTCTAAATAAAAAAATTGTGTACTTTTGACACCCAGCAAGCTTTGATCTTTTGAGTACTCATTCTTATGGTCAAGTAGCATATTATATGTATTCATTTTCTTAAGTTCCAAAGCGTGTCAAACGCACGCTCGTTTGATGCCAAAAACAACCCAAATACACTTTGTAAGGAAAAATTGTATACGTTTGACACCCAACAAGCTTTTGATCTTTTGAGTACTCATTCTAGTGTATTGTATGAGTTTTTTGCTTAAGTTCCAAAAGGTGTCAAACGCACCATTGTTTGATCACATGAATGTCGAAAACAATCCAATACACTCTAAAGAGAAAAACTATGTATTTTTTTTCACCCAATAAGCTTTTGATCATTTGAGTACTCATTTGGTTGGTTGTAGTAGCGTATTATATGTGTTTATTCACTTAAATTCCAAAGGGTGTCAAATGCATGCTCGTTTGCTCACATGAATGCAGAAAATAGTCCAAATACATTCCGTAAAGAAAAATTATGCACTTTTGACAACCAATAAGCTTTTAATTTTTGAGTACTCATTCATATGGCATAGTGTCATATTATATATGTTTATTTGCTTAAGTTCCAAAGGGTGTCAAATGCATGCTCGTTTGCTCACATGAATGCCAAAAATAGCCCAAATACAGTTCGTAAGGAAAAACTTTGTACTTTTTGACACCCAATACACTTTTAATCTTTTGGGTACTCATTTTTATGGTCCTAGTAACGTATTATGTGTGTTTATTTGCTTCATTTACAAGGGATGTCTAATGCACGCTCGTCTGATCACATGAATGCTGAAAACAGTCGAATACACTCCAAACAAAAAAATTATGTACTTTTGATACCCAACATGCCTTTGATCTTTTGAGTACTCATTCTTATGGTCCTAGTAGCATATTATATGTGTTTATTTCCTTAAGTTCAAAAGAGTGTCAAACGCACGCACGTTTGATCACATGAATGTCGAAAACAGGCTAAATACACTCTAAAGGAAAAATTGTGTACTTTTGACACCTCATAAGCTTTTGATCTTTTTAAGTATTCATTCTGATGGTCCTAGTAACGGATTATATGTGTTTATTTGTATAAGTTTCAAAGGGTGTCTAACGTACGCCCGTTTGATCACATGAAATATGAAAATAGTCAAATACACTCCAAAGTGAAAAACTGTGTTCTTTTGATACCGAATATTATTTTGATCTTTTGAGTTCTCATTCTTATGGTCCTATTAGTTTCAAAGGCTGTCAAACCCACGCTCATTTTCTCATATGAATGTCGAAAACAACCCAAATACACTTCGTAAGGAAAAATTGTATACGTTTGACACCCAATAAGCTTTTGATCTTTTGAGTACTCATTCTTATGAACCTAGTAGCCTATTATATGAGTTTTTTTGCTTAAGTTCCACAGGGTGTCAAATGCACCATTGTTTGATCACATGAATGTCGAAAACAATCCAATACACTCCGAAGAGAAAAACTATGTACTTTTTACACCCAATAAGCTTTTGATCATTCGAGTACTCATTCGTTTGGTCGCAATAGTGTACTATATGTGTTTATTTGCTTAAATTCCAAAGGGTGTCAAACGCACGCTCGTTTGCTCACATGAATTCAAAAAACAGTCCAAATACACTACTCCGTAAGGAAAAATTATGTACTTTTGATAGCCAATACGAAGCAAAATTTTTGTCCTAACTAAGAACATGTGAGAACATTTGAACACATAAACAAACTAATAACACTTTAAAGTAGGTATGCATTCAAAAACAATTCTAAAACCCATGACTTTCAAAGCCTAGTGAATGGTGAACCACAAGACTTTTTAACAACATTAAAGAGAAGAAAGGATTTTGAGATTCATTACCCTTGAAGCTCATCCTTGTTTACACAAGGGATTCACCCATGTGGAGGGCCTTCAAGTCACCTCCTAGCTCCTTAGATCTTCCTTGTGATTTTCTTCCTTTTGATACTCCTTTTCTCCTTGAGGATGTGAGGAAAGGATCTCCAAGAACACCAAAGGTTTAGTGTCTCTAAGTCTCCACACCAAGGATGAGGTGTGAAGATGAAATGGATGACTTAGAGGAAGAAAAGATTGCTAGCTATTTTCCCCCTAAGTGGCCGGCCTTTTTAGAGAAAAAATTTTGAAAAGGTTTCTCTTCTTTGCCTCAAGAAAACCCTAGTGAGAGAATGGCTATAAAGTTGCCTTTATACCACCTCACATGTGAGTGGCAAACTTGCAATTAACCCAAGTTTGCTACCACTCACCCTTGGCCGGTTTTGACTAATTTCCATTTAGTTTTAGTTCTCACACAACCTAAACTCAATGGGCCACATGGACCAAAAACTCTTTTGGGCCCCAAAACCCAAAACCAACTTAAAAGCCCAATACGAACCTTTCGTAAGATTAATTAACTAATTAATTAATCTTGACCATTCTCAATTAAACTATTTAATTGCTTATCCATCTCATTTATATTTCTTCACTTTTGTCCTTACTTGGTGTACGAACCATTAGGTTCCAATTAGCGAGGCAACGGGCGATTGTTACTATTAACGATCAATTGTGAATTGAAACTACATTTCAATTCTCCCTTTGATGAAGATTAGTGTTTGCTAATAATCCTTAGGGCTTACTGATGTGGTAGAAATGAACATACAAATTAAACCCTATAAATTATGCAATTGTAGTTTGAGTAAATAGGGATTGTTCTATTCCGGGGATTAGAAGGGATGCTAATCAACACACATTAAACTTGTAAAACTAAAAACTAAGTTAAACTAACATCTAAACAATGACTGGGGGGATTTTGGACAAATTTAACTAAAACAAAAGTAAAGGGTAGCAAGTAAATTAAGTTTCGAATGAAATATGGGTGAGAGGATAGCTAGAGGATTCTTCTCCACACATGAGACATGCATATGAATTGATTTCCAGTTATTCTTCCTATAAACCATGAATGACAATGCTCCAAATTAACTGTGAACAACACTAATTAATTCTCAGATTTTCCTAAGTTCATTGAATTGGACTCAGTGACGCAACTAAATTATTCTTCTCAAGTTCCCTAGCTATGAAAAACATGATACAGATACATCTTAAAGATCATTAAGTTCTGTGAAAATCATAAGCATTGACAAGGCATTTGTAACTATGAAAAGCATGATATTCCTGTTAAGAATTTACTTAACTCAATCATGACTAGTGACTTTTACTACTTGCAAATATAATTTCATAACGATGAGGTGAAATTCCCTCATATTCTAGCATCAAATCCCTGCATGCAAACTAAGTGTGCACCTTAATAAACATACAAGAATAAGTTCTCTATAAAGCAGATAAGTAAATCGCATTCATGTTTTATGAAACAATAACTAGATGTAATCAATTTATGTAAAACATATGATCATGGATTCAAATTCACCTCCAGCTAAAAAGAAATTTAGTTACACATGTTCATCATAACTGAAAAACAATCTAAAATAAACATTGAAAATTAAAACAGAGAGAGAAAGAACCCAGAAAACTCCAACGACTTCAATGAATGATTGCAGGTTACGGCATACTTATCTTCTCTTATTTGCGGCAATAATGTGTATATATAGGGTAAAGGCACAACTGAATCCCAGGAGAAAAAGGATTAGGTTGTTTGAATTATTTTAGGACTCCTAGAATCAGATAGGAAGTGTTGGAATGTGACAAGGATTCCCCCTTGCAGCTGGAGATAAGATAAAGTAGGATAAGGTTTGGATAAGATAAGATAAGATAAGGTTGGATAAGATAAGATAAGATAAGGTTCCTCTCCAACTAGGATTCCTTTTTCTTGTGTAATTCCTTGTCTTCCAAGCCCCAACTTTAATTTCTCCAGAGTTTAGCACATGTTTAACACCATTCAAACACCAAAAACGTCCAGCCCATATGCTCGCCACGCATGCTATCCAATCCAAATCCAAAACTGCTCCAAATTGCTCCATTTGACTATTTATTGTCATCTTTACCAACTAGACCTACAATAATACAAAAATAA